GTATTGCCAACTGATCTGTGTTTGCTATGGATTTGGCACTTGCGAATCGCATTGCTCTTTTTACGCGCAGTCTTTCTTTCTGCTTGTCTTGTCTTGCCTTAGCATTTCTTTGTATATAAGCCCTCAGGCGTTGCTATTTAAATTAATCTTGAGTCATTTATTTATGTATTTCTGCCATTGGCGTATATTTATTTGCATTAAGGTGCCTTCGAGTCAGGCGATGTCTTTTTGCAATTTATGTTTTTGTTGTTTTAATTTTTTTTTTTAAATGTTGCTTTTATTTCATTGCGTTCTGTGTAATTCTTGCTTGAAAGCGTCACGTGCTTGCTGAGTGCGGTTTGAGTTAGGTTTGTTGTTGCTGTTTTTGTGTGCTCTTTACACTTGAGAAAGTAGAAATCTTGCTTATCGCCAGCGTTCATGCGACAAGCTTGCGTCTTAAATACAAAAATACGAATTCGCACTTACTCAGTTATTGATTTATGTACCCTTATGTATTTATGTATGTACATAAATATATGTATGTATACGTAGGCAATTAATTGCCGCCTATTGGATTGCTACGCTTTCGATGGCCCAAGGCGCTTTTTCGTTCGATTCGTTTATACTCTTGTCTTAACAATTTTTTCTTATTTCATCTATAGTCATCTTATAAAAGCGTGTTTATTTGTATAGATTCTTTGGTTTGCGAGTAAAAAAATTCTGAGCTGTCGCTTTGTGCTTTGTTGGTCATATTGTTATACAATTTTATTCTGAAGCAGCTTATTTAAGCATTGAATTAACCCAGAATGCAAAAGATATCTTTTCATTAGGTATTGTTCTTTATTGATTACCGTTACAATTTGGACTTTCAAAAGATATGTTCTCAAATCGAGGTTAAACTAAAGTTTTTATTACTTTTCTTTAATATTTATTGTCCAAATTTAGGAATGAAAGGTTATCGATCGACACCAGTATGTAAAATTTTCTGTTCTTATATAAATGACATAAAAAAATTAATTTTTCAGAAATGTTTTTTTTATGTTACGAAATGTTCTTTCATTCAGTATAAGTACTTACTTTTTATAAATAGTCACTAAAGTCCATACAAAGGCTTGATTTAGATCGCCCAGTTTGTATATGATCTAGCTTTAGGAATTCGAAATTTCTAAAATTATCTATCTCAAATTTCATGAAGATATCTCGTAAAATAAAAAAAATTTTCTATACAAAAACTATATTTTCAGCAATAAGTTTATATGGCAGCTATATGCTATAGTGGTCCGATATCGGTGGTTCCAACAAATGAGCAGCTGTTTGAAGTGGAAAGAATTTATGCAAAATGTTCGATCGATATCTCAAAAACTTAGGGATTAGTTCGCGTTTATACAGACGGATACAAAGAAGAAAATGTTCAGGTTTAATAAACAAAGCCAAGCTTAACAAATAAGTATGGCTGAACCACTAGAACCTCTATTTTTATATTCTAACATACTACTATTCAAAACTTTTTAACGTACTCAACCGTGTTGTAACAACATTCTACACCTCTCTTTACAATTATCATATTTTTGCGATTAAAGTTGGTGGTCATAAATTATGAATGGTGCTGCCATGGAAATAGCGATTAAATATTGTTAATAAGGTTTTCATGTGCAGTAGTGGTGAATGAAACAGAAGCATATGAAGCACATTTGTGTATATGCATCAATAAACAATACAAGATATCAAGAATTGTAAACTGACTTCCTCATACGATGTAATGAAAGTTAATATGACAAGTGGCCGAAGTGCTTATGCAAACCTGTACATGTGTGCATGTACCCTGTAGGAAAAAGAATATGAAGTGATATAGACAGATAATAATCAACCTGCAGTCAAACAATCAAACAGAAGAAGACTAGTTGTAGTAATTATTGGACTTATCAAAAAAAAAACTTTAAGCTTAATAGTTTATAACTAGTAATTACTGACATAAAACGAACCAGTGCGAAAAAACCAACCTTGGACTAATTATGAAAGGATTTTCTCCGTTTCCTAGTTTCAGTATGAACTGTCACGCAAAGCGAGGAAAGTCGTATGTGAATAGGCCTTTATGCATAAAATACAGATGCTTATATGTTTGAAAGAAATAATGTTGTGGATTCGTTGAGCTGGCTACTCATATTAGCTAGTTTCAAGATAGTATACTCGTTCAATTGACAACCGAGTACTTCAGCGGGGTAACACATTGGTTCAAGTTGAAAAATTATGTCTAATGAGTTCGAGTTGCAGAATACAAGTTGCTCTAAACCAAATGCTCATAAAAAAAGTGCTTATACACACACATATAAGTATCATATATCACTACTTCAAGCCTCTACAAAGTTCATTTTCACAAAATATTGTTGAAATCCCAACGCAACAAGTAGTTTGCACTTATACTTTTCTATCTGCAATCGATGACTCGTATAATTGAATGTGTACAAAGCAGTTATGAGCAATCGAGATATTTATTTCCAGACAAATGAAGTGTAATTAATAGAACGAAATAACACTGAGTGCATAATTACAAAGTAATCTTGCTTTTTATTATAAATGAATGTTGTTTCAAGATAAATGCTGTCAATTTGTAGACTACTGATGTTAGCCGCTGATTGTTAGCGAAAATTTAAATGTAGTAATAGCTGCACCCAAAGAAGACTGTACCTACGCGCTGTTGATAAACTTTGAACGCCTTCACGCAACGGAAGCTTCTCTAACTAAATATGTACACATAATAGACAAGTGTCTTAAATTGTTAGAACATTTATTCACACAATAGAATGCTGTTCTACACACGCAAACGAAAATCAGTTATTCGCGTGTGCTGGACATATTTGCTGCGTAAATTCTTTTTTTACTTGACGATCGTGTCACAAATCGAACAAATATATTCATAGAAAAGAAAAAAATAAATAAAAATACAATAATTTATGAAAAAATGCATTAAAAAGTACGTGTCTACACACAGCTGTCATAATACTAACACACATATAATCATAAGTACTCATATTGCATGTATGAGTATTGTTCGTGTTTGTGTCACACACACACGCCTGCCATGATTATTCCACAAAAATTAAATTGGCTTCATTTGAAATGCGTTATTCACAAATTAATCAGACATTGAAATAATTGCAGCAAAAAAAAAATATATATATGTATATCAAAAAGAGTCAAGCAAAATTGAAAGCTGCTTAAGAGAACAAAAGCGCCGCATTGTCAAGTGAAAAGCCGAAAATTGCTGAATTAAAAATGTATAAAAATAACTGTCGAATTATTTTTACCGCCATATGCGTATATATATGTACGCGTACATATTTTTTAAATGTTTGTATACATATGTAATTACATGCCATAGAATTGCTACAAACATATTTTTCATTATTTTTTGACGTGCCACGTGTCTGCCACACAAAGTGTTGTATGGCGTGCCGGATATAAACATTAAAATCTTATTTTTGTTAATTTTCCGTTCTATTTTCTATATTTTTTTTTTTACTTTTCAATCAATAAATATTTTAATAGTCTTTTTTTAATGGAGCTTTAAGCTTTCTTTTGTATCGCTATAAAGACATTAGTATTTTTTGTTAATTTTTTAAAGGTCTTCAAATAATTAATTTTAATTTATTTAAAATTAGTTAAAATAGTTTTATTTTTTAATTTCTTTGCATAATTGAGAATATATATGTTTTTAATTGTTGTACGCAGTGCTGCTAGATCAAATCTTTCCTTTTTAGTTTTAAATATTTTTTACTATCCGAAGGCTTTACAAATATTTTGAGTTAACTTTTAGAGCAAATAAAATATCTCATTCCAGCATTTTGTGTTTTGAAAATGATTTTCGGATGCATAAACTATAAATTTGAATTTTAAACCTCTGACATAATAATATACGAAAACAGCTGATATCTGATAATTATTGGAAATTATTTTTGAAAGAAAACTCACGAACTATCGGACAATTTTAAATAATTAGATTAAATTTAACTCCAAAATGGTTAAATGAACGATTTTAAAGATCCAGAAAATAATAATTAAGAACTAGTTACAAGCACAACATCTCAGGTTTACTTTTTTTTTTTCAAAAAGGCAGGGAAAAAGTGGCGTTCATACCTCCAATAAATTATTTAAAAATTATAAAAACTATACAAATTGTAAATAATTTATTTAATGCAAATATTTGTGTATATATTTTGTCCATTTTAACATTTATAATTATATGTGTGTGTAACCTACAAATTACCTTAATTTATGTGGGAATTATGTTCAAGTAAAACTTGTGAGAAACACTTGCGCTCATTGATATATCTACATATAGTACTTTCATTAATGTATAGTGTTTGAACAAAAAAAAAAAAGTAATAGTAATAATAGAGAGCTATTCAAGATAACATACTTCATACATATGTATGTATGTACATCACTGTCTGTTCTATTCTGTCAAATGACTACGACAAGGAAGTGCTGTATCCACTTGTTTTGTATTTATAAAATTTTAATTTGATTTATTTGGTTACTTTGCTTCACCATTGCCCGTGCACAATAAACTAGTAATGTATGCGCATACATACGAGTATGTACTTATTAAGCAGCCTGCTCAGTCACTAAATTTAAACACATACATTTTTTTAACAAATCAATTTATTGAAGAATTCTCTCAAGCAAAATAACTACTCGCAGAAATATACGCACATACAAACACAAATAAATAATATGCTTTTGATGGCAAAGTAATTGAAAATAGCGACAAATGCACATAATTACGCATTCCATTACCGGCTGTACGGTCTATAAATAGCTGGTCATGTTCGATAACTGCACTCAACGTTGGTTTTTTTTTATTATTTGAAATTTTTAGCAACTCACTAATATTGTTGTTAAACTTTTTTACTTTACCTCAATTGTATCTTATTTTTCTATAAAAATAGCAATGCAACATTTGCGTGCATTACAAATATACGAATACTAGTAGTAGCATAAATAAGTTTCTATACACTCACCTTCACTGGTTCATCGTTTTCGAAACCTCCGTTGCTGAAACCTGTCATTTTGTCAGCTCAAATAAATCACAAGCCTTGAATAACTTCTCCTTATTATAAAGTCTCTCTCTCTTTGCGCTCACTGTTTCTATTGCGTTCTCTTTATTATTGTTGTTATCAATTGCTATTTCGTTTTATTTATGTATAAATTAAAGCTGCAAAGAGAAGATGAAAAGATCATATTTTAATTATTTGTGGGAATATTCCGTTAATAGCTGGTTTTTTAAAAATTAAAAATATTTTATTACCATTAAATAATATCAGCTATACTATAATATAAATTTAAAATAAATTGTTATAATTTTGTGTCTACAACAAAAAAAAGTATAACAATATATGATATACAAAATAATAAAATTATTATTAATTTGATTTGTTATGAAAATATTTTTTTAGGCAGATGTATTTTGTTTGTTAAATGTAACTCTGCTAGTAGTAAGACAATTTTCAAAGTACAAAAACTCAATTTTGAAGAAAAGTTTCTTTTTTGGTCAAAATAATAGAGGCACTGTCGAGTATGCTTAAAACTGAAAAAATCTATTCAATTTTTTTCCAGCTCTTTTTAAGGAAAATGCATACTAACATTATTAAAATTTTATTACTGATAAAATTTAATGAAGTGAAATAGAAAGAAGTTCGAGGTGTCCACATACTTTCTTGTATTACATTGAACTCTATAATTTTTTTTGTTTTTGTTTTCATATGTAAATTTTCTAACGCATAGACAGCGCGAATAAAAGACGGCTGTAAATTAATTAACTTATTTATTTGAAAAAGCAGTGTGAGAGACTTTTGAGGATCGGAAAGAGGGTGCAACCGTGTTCACGGCATTTTACGAATTTTTCAAACAAAAAAAAATTTATTTTTGTTATTTTAGACTGAAAACCTATTGACTGTAATGACTATGACTTAAGTAATAGTTAGTGGGAAATAACACCAAATTAATAGTCCCTTTATTAATATAAAAGTGCAACCTTTAGCTTTTTAATTATATTTTTTGTATATAAAATATTGCTATAATTAATTTTTATAATTAATTTTAATTTTTATAATGAATTTTAATATCACCATTATTTTTATATTAACGCTTTTCTTAGCTGAATAATTTATTTAGTATGATAATACTCAGTTATTTCTTTTTTTATGTTATAAACTATGCGTGCATATAATTGATTAGCTGGGCTTTAAGGTCTTTTGTTATTCATTATGATTTTCCAATTAAATTTTATACAATGAAGCTAGTTGACTCTAAGTACTAGAATATACCTATAAATGTAATATTTTTAAAGCCACTGGAATTAATTTTTATGTACAAAGAGAGTATTATATTACCGTTTCGAGATGTGGTTGTCATGCTAAATATAGTTAGTTACTATAAATTACACAATTGCTTTGGCTGTTGACAAATTGCAAATTACTAGCAACTGGGTATAACAACTTTTTTGTTGTGTAAAAAAATAATTAACAAAAATAAATAGATATAAATAATAAATAACTAATAGCTTAATATAACCAATTTTGTTAGTAAAAAATTTAAAAAATAAATAATATAGCATTTATTTATGTAGCATTTTTTGTTCTAAAAAAAATTAAATGTTTTTTTTTAATTCTACCTACTTATTAACATTACTTTTCCTCCGCACTTACTACTTACTATTCTCTATACAACAACTGTAACAATAAACATTATTGTGTACCGCAAATGTTTATACCGACGCTTTTCATAAATTATATTTTCAAATTACTGCCAAAAAGGTGAATGAAAATAATTTCAGTAAAAAAAAAATTATTGTATGTGTATACATTTGAATAGTTATCGGCTATCGTTTGTTACTCGCGAATGCACTCGAGCGCAAACTCGATGACTTGTGAATGGCACTGGCGCATCCTATACACGCACATCCACACACATAAACGAACAAATTGTTTAGCACAAAAAGTCACACGCTCTCATGGACATACACACACACGCGCACTAACAGGCATCAAAGCGCTTATAATCACCATCTCAAGCGAGTGCTGAAGTTCAAGTTCATTTATTCAATTTGTGACTTTTTTCTCACACACAACGCGTTTCAGTTCCTGCATTTTCATCATATTAATAATTATTAATTTATTGTAGTATTTCTTTTTATCGAATAACGCGATTCCGTTGATTGTATCGTTAATAATGTTTTCTTTCTGTGTTTTTGTTGTAGTTGTTGTCTTGTTTTGTTATTGACTTTTTTACAGCAATTAGTTGCCAACAATTTGTTAGCTTATTGCTATTGTTGTTATATTGTTCTGTGTTCTGTTTAACCCCTGCTTAAATACACTTTTGTTTATTGTTTATTGTTGTATTTGCAATATGTTGTGTTTTACTTTTCTTTGCTTAGGTTGCTGCTACTATAAAATACGTATTAGCATTAAACTTTGTTGTTGGCGGTAGTCAATATATATTTACGCATGTGTGCGTGTTTGTTTGTACATACTATGCTTTCATGTTCAATTAATAAAATTATTTGTAATCTATCGTCACATCTGCCGCACCGACGATCAATTAAAAAATCACTAAAAAAATAAATAAATAACTGGCGACTTGTACATTAATAATAACATACTAAATACATAAATTTGTAATGCAGGTGTGCACATACATAAATTTGTGAGCAAAACTAAATAAATTTGGTTCTAGTGCTGATAGTAAATCTGTTTGAAGTTTTATTTTTTGTGTAATTTTTTTTTATATATATTTTTGTTGAACAATATGCTACATGCAATATAAATATAATAGTAATATTTTCTGATTGTGATTTTTTATTTTAATTATTTTTATTTATTTATATTTATATATATTTATTTTCGAATACAATGTTTTTTTCTCAAAAAATTTATATTTTAATGAATATTTTCATGAAAAATTAGCATGCAATATTTTTATTTAAATATAAATAATACCGCACACTTTCTTAAAAAATATGACAAATATATTACTCATTTATAATATGTATATATTTATTACATTATTTTAATTATTTTTTTCAATATATTATTTTATTTTGTATGCTCGCTTTTCATCAAAATAATTATTTTCTGAGCAAAAAAATGTTATAATATATAATTATATACTATTTTTTAAATTTACTTATGCTACATTTTCATCAAAGTAATTATTTTATTTAAAAAAACTTTAAAAATGCATATTTTATTGTTTTTATATTTTAGAAGCCATTTTATTATGTATTACATTTATTTACCAAACTTTTTATAATATTATGCATGAAAATTTATTTAAAATAACTATTACGCGAAATAGAGTGTGCGGAAAATATAAGAATTTGGAAAAAATGTTTTTCGTAACACAAAATTTTTTTTTTGGCATAGATCATTTGAAAAAAATTTCTAAAACCACAATTTTTACTGTTATACATTTTTAAAAATATTATTGTATTTGTTATTTTATTACATTAAAAAAATTTTTTTTTTGTAAAAAGAAAACATTTGAAAATTCCTTATTCCATCAACAAAAAAAAAAATATTAGACCGCACGACAATTAACTTCAGCAAATCTTATTTCACCAGTTAACGAAACTCGCATCTTCTATAATCATTCATGTTTATTATTATTGTATTTGCTTAAATGACGGCATGATAATAAAACGTCAGAGAATGATCTGTTTATTAAGCAAAAAACAGTGATAAAAATTTCAAGGTAATAAAAAGAAATGCTTAACGAGCAAAACTGCATCAGCAGAGCTGGAATTGAAATCATCAAATAAAAAAATTAAATACAAATTTTATTTGCTTAATGGTTTATGATAACTAAAAGCCTGACATTGCTATATATTTAGATCAGAACACATTATTTTAAACTGCATATTTACGTATATGCTAAAATTTTACTCCAAACTCCGACAAAGTAATACTTGAATATTACATAATTTTTGCTAAATTAAGTAAATTAGTTTTGCATAAGCACTAACTGTTAGTCACTGTTTTGATTTATATTTAAACCAGCTTATTAAAATATCGTTGACACGTGAACGCATTAACAGTGGAGGGCATAAAAATGCACAGATGTGACAAAAAATATTAAGAATGTAAACGCTACCTGATTACAAAATCTGCAAATGATATCGTGAATATTACAACAAATGAGTAAAAGAAAGAAACAAAAACAAAAATATATATATATAGAAAATAAAAATAATAACACTTCATAGAATTAGATTATACAAGGATATAACCATTGTTGTCTGAAATTTTAAAGGGTCGCTCATTTTATGCCATGTAAAAAAATTTTCAAAATTCTTTGTCGATATTATGTTTTACAATAAAAATTGTTAACCATTTTACACATATTTCCAATTTTTCACAAAAATATATTATTTTTAAAAATATTTTTTAATAACTAGACAAATTTTAATTTTAACGAAAATCAATTGAAAAGAGAAAAAAAATTTTTGTTTAAAAATGTACACAAACATTTGATTATCTTATAAATTTTACCAAATTTCTCTAACTCACTGTAGATGCGCTTGTGCACGTAAATCATCATATATACTTTTATTTGCATTCTCATACGTTAATAATAATAAAGTGCAGTAAAAAATTGCATTACAAAAGGCTAGTGTACAATTAGTCTGTCCACGAGTGCTGTCAATTGGCTATTGTCAGTTCTACCGGCACTCGTCGCACAGATTAGTCAGCGCTAAGAACAAAAACATATGGAGTAACAAAGCAAAATGCAAATGTTGGCGGCTTGTGATGCAAAGCAGAAACGGGTGTTTGAAAAGTTTTTGATTTTTAATTTTTGTATTATATTTTTAATTTTATTTATCAATTTTCCTTATCAGAATTAAAAATTCATCGATTACTATCGACTTTTGCTCAATAATTGCCATTTGATTGCTAACTTTTTTCCAATCACTTATTAATTGTAGAATATCTGCAAATAATGTTTTTTGAACGACACGATTTCGTTGCGAAACGTCACGTGTTTTCTCTTAATACATAAAGTTCGTAAGTGGTTTCACAATTTTTGCATCACGTTTCTAGTATTTACTAGCGTTAATTAGAAATTTATGAGTTGCATCGCCGATAAACCACACACTCTTGTAATTGACGCTACTCAGTCATCAAATCGAAGTCACATGTGATATTATAGCAATAGTCG